GGTATGCAACGCCACGTTCTGAATAGCTCCCGTGCTATTTGAAACGCCAGCACAAGTAGCCATCAATTCTAACATAATAATATTGTAATTCTGTCTGAATTGTGGAAGCTTTCTCGGTTTCTTGACAAACCTCCTTTTGGATTTGACTCCTTTTTTTATGACGTTGTTTTTTCCGATCAATATTGGGTAGATCTAAATTTAGATTTAAAAATTGTTTCTGACATTGTTTGCACAAAAGTAGTTATTTTCATCTCTCATAATCATAATCATTTGAGTTTGAGTTAGAGCAAGTAGATTCTAGATCTAGATCTAAGCCAAAAGACGCTTGGATAACAATAACAAGACGGTGCAACTCGGTAAGCACTAGTTCCTGTCCACAGTGCCATCATACAATAGGCCTACCTAAAAATAGGCCTATTATCTCTGAGTGCACTTTATATTTTGACATCACACGTGACGTCGCCTGATCTTGGCTTCGGCGGTTTAATTAGCAGGGCATAGTTAATTAGTTAGGCATAGAGAACGTATACAAGCTGTCTACGTTCTTTAATGTTCAGTGTTTCCAAGCGTGGCATCGAATCCCGGTCCCGGAAAGTTTTTTTCCTTCTCCTGAGCCTAAAATTTAAAAAAATAATAATTAGACTCACAGACCAAGGAAAGCCACTATTGAACTTAACCAGGCCTAAATTGGTAAAAGGAAAAATATAAGCTTACTTTGTAGGTAAAAGTTCCTCTTGGTGACAAAACCAGAATGTGGATACTTCATCACCTCATAAAAAACTACAAAGCAACAAGTTATAACTATACCCAAAAAATGTTGGTCAGTAGGTAAGAGGAGAAAAAAAAAAACACCTTCCAGGACCGCGATTTGTTCCCACGACATAAAATAAAGGTTTGACTTCAAACGCAGACGCGCTGTCCATTCGGCCATCAGAACTTCCAACAACGAAAGGTGGATTAAGCTTCATATTTAATACACGGCGTTTTATTTAGCACTGGCATTAATAGTAACGCCGTTTATATATATACACTGTCGAATCTGTGTAAGACGGAATCGCAAGGGAGCCAGAAAAAATTCCGTCTTAGACATTTTCTGTCTTAGATAGGGGAATTTAGAGGGAGATGAAAAGGGGGGGGGGGAGTCAAAGGCCCAGTTGGTGGGATCAAGGATCGCTTGTCCGATCGGCAAGCAGTCTTCTAAACTTCCCATCTCTCAATTGCTATCCTGTCTAATAATGACATGCCATTCTTACTTATCCAATTACCACTAGTGCTTGCCTTTCATAGGACACGCTGTTTGACTTATTAAAACAGAGACGTTTGAACATCTCCTTTGCTTCCACCCTAATCCCCCACCCGTCGGTGCAACAAGCACAGTCAACCATTGCCACCCCTCACTGCCATCATGTAACAGCGATTCGAGGATCTCTTTTCCCGGCTGGCCGTACGATCAGGGCGGGAGGCACTGGTTAATCTAATTTCACACCTCCGG